GAGCTGAGGGACAGCGCCCAGGCCCAGAGTTCAAGCCCCACAACTGACAAAAAATAAATAAGTAAAAATAAATTAATAGAAAAATAGATGAGGGATGAACCCCGGCATGACTCAGGCTAAAGTATTTAAACGGTGTCCGTGGTTGCCTGGTGGTGGTGGTAAAGAATGCTAAGATGGGTATGTCAGACCTGAAGGAGCCAGTCAGGACGTTGCAGACGTGACTTTCAAATCTTCAGATGGCATTAGCATCAAATAACACACCTGCTTGTGTTCTCTTCTGGAGAGCCGTGTTGCCTGTGCAAACAGAAGTTCAGCTGAGCACTCTGCAGAGCCCGTGGGCTGTATCCAGGAGAAGACATCAGCTGAGCAGCCGTGAAGATGTCCCCTCGCCCCTCAGCTTCTGCCTCTGTGTCTAGCTGAACCCCAGCTGGCGTGACCAGAGTCCTCATCAACAGTCTCCTGTTCCTGACACATTAAAACTGCCCATTAGAATGGCCCTCTAGCTTAGCAGCCTGCTCAAAGGATTGGACTGCCTCTGAAGAGGTATGTGGACTACAGAACTTTATTTCCTGTGTCACCCCCGACCTAATCTAACCGGAAGTGTAGCAGAGTGAGCTCGGGCGTGAGCAGAGGAGCTGACCTCCTTTGTGTTCCAGGCTGATCCTGATAGAGCGAAGGCCTCTCTGCGCTGGGGAGACGCCCTGCCGGTGTTGGCACACTCTCCCTGTTCTTTGAGGCCGCACAGCTTGGTGCTTCCCCTCCACCTCCCCAGCACCCTGCAGCACCCAGTCCGGTAGTGGATCTGAAACACTTAAGTCTTTAGGTTCCATTTTTACCTTGATTCCAAGAGATGTATTGCATTCTGGTTTTCCACTTTTCATTGAACTTCTGAAAGTATTTCCTTAAAAATCTATCGCGCTAAAAGGGGCTTATTACTTGGAAAATTAAAATTAACATCGGATTTGTAATCCGATTTGGTTTTAAAATGGTTGTACAGAGTTTCGAATATTACATAGGCTAATAGGTTCTTCACGCTTATGTGTTTACACGCTGTCTTGCCAAAACTAACCATTAACCTTTTCTTTTCAATGGACTCAAAAGAGGTCTCTCCGTGCCCACCAGAGGTCTGACTGGCACTGCCTTTTGTTTGCTCTTGCAAAAGGGTAAGTGTTTGGGGTTTGCAAGTGAGGAAAATGCTCAAGGGAGCCCAGCGACCCCAGCCCTCCAGGACGCCAGCGTCCCCAAGAGTCAGGCCCCCTGGCCAGGGCTCCCCCGGCCACCAAGAGCTGCCTCTCAAGGGGTGAGTGTGAGCGTCTGCTCAGCCGGAGCGCTCACCTGGTGCTCCTTCCACAAGCCCGCCATTCCCGCACGTGAGGTTCACACCCTGCAGGCAGAGCACGGGAGCAAGGCGAAGGCTGAGCCTCTGCTTTGCTGTGTAACTTACAGCACGTGAACTTCCTTTTTCTTTTCTTTTTGTTGTTTTGTTTTAGGAAAATACTTTTCCTCTTTGATGTTTCATAGCTTTTTGTAAATGCAGCCTCATGATGAGGAAAATCGGCCTTTTGTCCATGATGGCTTCTGGACCCTTCTCTAGTCTGTAGCTCAGACCCACCTTCCTTCCTTCCTTCCATCCTTCCTTCCTTCCACCTTCCTTCCTTCCTTCCTTCCCTCTACTCCCTCTTTTGTGCCAGTCCTGGAGCTTGAACTCAGGGTATGGGCACTGACCCTGAGCTTTTTTGCTAATGGATAGCACTCTATTACTTGAGCCACAGTTCCACTTCCAGCTTTTTTTTTTTTTTCCGGTCAGTTGTGGGGCTTGAACTCTGGGCCTGGGCACTGTCCCTGAGCTCTTCAGCTCAAGGCTTAAGCCACAGTGTCACTTCCAGTTTTCTGGTAGTTACCTGGAGATGAGTCTCATGGACTTTCCTGCCGGTGCTAGCTTTGAACCTCGATCCTCAGGTCTCAGCCTCCTGAGTAGCTAGGATGACAGGCGTGAGCCACTGGCGCCCGGCTTTTTTTTTTTTTTTTATGTGATTAATTGGACATAAGAGTCTCATGCAGGGTTTTCCTGCCCGGGCTGGCTTCAAACTGCGATCCTCAGATCTCAGCCTCCTGAGTAGCCAGGATTACAAGTGTGAGCCACCAGCTCCTGGCCAGATCTCCTTTCTAGTCGTTATTTTCTGGGTAGTAATTCTGTCTTGAGGCATTATTGAAAGTAGTTCTCACGTTGCCTTGGACATTTCTTGGACTTCTCTAGCAGTAAGCAGTGCTGCTCAAATCCTCCTGTTTCATAAATAGATAACTCTCAAATGCTACTCCATCTTGGTAGTTAAATGATGTCTGAGGCTTTGGTGATGGATCAAGTTGTGTGGTAGTTTCCACACAAAAAAACTGATCAGCCTGTGTGCTGTCCACGGTGACCTTAGCAGGAGGTCACCGTTCGTATGACTCGGCCTTCCTTGGAGCTGCAGGGCGACCGTGTCCCTGGCCTTCTCTGATGATCTGCGCCCTCTCTCTTCCATTGTTTTCCAACGGCTGCTCATTCCTGGCCTTAGCACGCATCTTATGGAGTGTGTATTATGCTAGGCTTGCTTTGAAACTGGTGCTTGTCACGCTTCGGGTCTCAGCGTTGGTAGGAGCGCCCGAGCGCACGGCGAGGCTGTGCCGGCCCCCGCGGGCCCAGGAAAAACTGTAACGTTTTTGTATTCATGACTGATAATAAAGAAGCTGATACTAAACTGTGTTTTACAGGCTTCAGTGTTTCATAAATATTACCCAAAAGGCTTTATTTTTCGTGGGTCAGAGGTCAAGATTTATGAAGAACAAGTTGATAGCCGGGCCAGTGGCTCAGGCCTGTAAGCCTAGCTACTCAGGAGGCTGAGATCTGAGGATCACCGTTCAAAGCCAGCCCGGGCAGGAAAAGCTGTGAATTTTTTATCTCCAATAAATCACCAGGAAGTGGGAAGTGGCCCTGTGGCTCAAGTAGCTGAGCACTTAGCCTTGAGCTGAATGAAGAGCTGAGGGACAGCATTCAGGCCCAGAGTTCAAGCCCCATGACGGACAAAAACAAGTCAAATGAATTAAGTAAAACTTCAGAATAATTCACAAGGCAAATTTAGTGCAAATTGAACATTTGTTTTAATTTAATTTATAATTACGTGGATTTATCATTTTTAAATGGTTGTTAGTATTCTAATTGGGTATCATTTAACTGCAAACTCTGCAAAATTTGAGACGTTTTCTTGGGCTGTTTCAGTAAGCCTTTTTCTCGGTGCGTCCGGCACTGAGTCGCTGGAGGCTTCGCCCCCGGTGCGCTTTCCCATCCTGCTTAGTCCCACCCGGTCCCCTGAGGCCTGGCGGGGTCCTGAGTGCACGGCCGACAGGACTTGCCATGTGGGTTGCCGGCCGAGCCAGCCTCGCCGAGTAACATCACTCCTATCTAGCAGCGTCCCCTGTGGCTTATAGCGCCGACCAACCTGGCACCACAGAAAAGCACCCACAAATTCAGACTCAGAACAAGATCCGGAAGCCAAGAGCTCTTAAGTGTTATGCCTCTGAAATCATTTGCACTGTTCTGCAGCACAGCTGACAAGCAGCAGCACGGCTGGCTGGGTGGATAGGTCCCTGAACTTTGCAGGGATTCGCATGGCCTGTGAAATCAGGGTGCAAAGCTGGCCCCGAGGCACAGGGGTCAGACACCCCGCTGCGGGGGGGCGGGGGGGCTCCAGAACCTCAAGGTGAATGCCTGGAATCACTGGAAAGATGTGTTGGACTGCGATGGAGGAAGCTGGCGTCTCGCTGCCGTTCCTTGGGAAGCCTGCCCCTGCCCCTGCTCCTGGAAGTGTCTTGCCCTGCAGGCATGCCAAATTTGGGAAACTTGTGATGTTTCCAGGGTCAGTGCCGTCTCCTGGCACCTGCTGGTGGGTGGGTGTGTTTCTCCTTGTGTGTGTACCTCTTGTTGCACGCACATGCATGCCCCAGAGGGCACAGTGAGCATACACATGTGTGTCTTTAGGATTGGTCACAGGCGGTGCACCCCCTCACCCCCTCACATTCAAGTCCTGCCTCAGCCAGCTGGACCCCCAGTGGGTTTCCCCGCCCCCCCCCCTGCCTAAACACAGCCATCGTCACCTGGATTCAATGAATAATCCTGGAGCTCACTGGGGCCACAGCAGAACAGGCTCAGTGCTGGAAGAGTGGCGGTTGCGGGGCTCTGTCTGCAGCTCGCGAGGCTGAGCAGTCAGCCCACGCTCATCTCACGGGAGGCACGCAGCGCCAGGCTCCCCGCCCCGCCTCCCGGAGCCTTGCTTCAAGCTGCCACACTGCTGCTGTTTAAAAGTAGGCATTTACACCAGGGCCCCGTGCTCACGCCTATAACCTAGCTACTCAGGAGACTAAGAGCTGGGGATCCCAGTTCAAAGCCACACCGAGCAGGAAAGTCCTTTAGACTTAACCACCAGAAATCTGGAAGCGGAGCTGTGGGACAAGTAGTAGGCATTAGTCTTGAACAAAAGAAGCTCCAGCACAGGGCCTAGGCCCTGAGTTCAAGCCACAGGACTGGTACAAACAACAAAAGTCATTTACATGGTCATTGTCAGGGTCTACATGATACCGCTAACTTCATTTATTTGAGTGGTTTGTAGTCTAGTGATTTTGGCTAAATGCTTTCAAAACTCTCTTCTTGCTGTTTGCACCCCCCCCCATATGTATATATGCAGAAACCCACATGCTGCAGACAGGCACCACCAGTACTTCCCAGCCCAACTGGTACAGTTTCAAGAAATCCTTGAAGGAGGGAAAAATCAGATTTGTAAGCGAGGCTCAAGTAAAATGACCAAGTAAAATGCAAGACAGGATTTATTTCCCAGAAGCGGGGAGCGGGGGAGCTTTGCCTCGCGGGTTCAGGTGCAGCATCCACGTTGCTCATCTACCAAGTGCTTGGGGGGGGGGCCCTCAAGTCAGACGCAATATTTCCAGAAGCATTCGGCCATAGCCCCTTGCTGCTGGTGCTGCTTCCTATTTCTTGCCAAGAGATGGTTCAGTATGGCGCTAGGATCTTGTCCAGGGAAAGCCTGAAACCAGAACATTCCAGAACAAGAGTTACTTGTCAGTGCATTACAGGTCCTCCCAGAAAGTTAGTCTGGTGGAGCCCAGGGCTGTGAGGAGCAGCATTCGCTGCCTCTGGCGGCAGCCATCCCCAGGGCCCCTCACAAGCGGAACCCCACGCCTGTCACTGTTCAAAAGCCGTTGACAGTGCGCTGCACATTTGCTGTCTCATGGTGCATCTCTGGGTGTGAAATTCACTGCTCTAGAGGTTTCCTCTTGGTTTTTTTTTTCATCTATGATGTAGTAGTGACGTCGCACGCGTCACCTTGGGCTCTTGGTGTTGACTTGGAATCCTGAGACAAGCGTCTGGGAGCTGGCTCTCAGCAGAGCGGCTCTCCCTGGCCGGCGGCTGGCCTTGCTGCGCGGGGTTCGGGGTGTCTAGCTTGTTTTGAAGCAGATCCTCGCTAGCTGACTCAGGTCAGTGTTTGGGGAAGGTCTCTGATGTGGGGGCAGGGGGCTTCGTACTCTTGTGTACACAGGGGTGCAGGCCTGGGAGGGGCGCTCTTTTTTTTTTTTTCCATCAGTTGTGGGGCTTGAACTCAGACCTAGGCACTGTCTCTGAACTTTTTCACTCAAGGTTAGCACTCTACCACTTTGAGCCACAGCGCCACTGCCGGTTTTCTAGTGGTTTATGGGAGAGCCGAGTCTTACAGACTTTCTTGCCTGGGCTGGCTTTGAACTGTGATCCTCAGATCTCAGCCTCCTGAGTAGCGAGGATGACAGGCGTGAGCCACCGGCACCTGGTGAAAGCACTGTGTTTTTGGGTACACAGGCAGGGTGTGGAGACTGGTTCGCCAGACGGGCAGCCCAAGAGCCCCGCAGGAGCCGCTGGGGCCGGCCACACCCCTGGAGAACCTCACTCCCCACTCCTCTGGCCCAGAGAGGCCTTTCTAGGGCTCTGTCCTCCGCTTGTGAGCATGTCTATGTCCACAGCACACCACAGTGCCTTGCAGGCTGAGCCCTGGAAACTCAGGGTGCAGGGTCTGACTCTGTGGGAGCAGCTGGGGCTGGGGTTCCGCATTTCTCACAAGCTTCTTGCAATTTCAGTGTTGCCGGGCCGTGGGCTGCGTAGCAGGCCCCCCTGACCCACACGAGTGGACAGCAGACTCAGGAGCAGGGACTCCCCAACTCCTTACCTACCACTTGTAATTTACCCCAGACCGGCACTTGGCAGGCAAGCTCTGGTTGCAAGCTCTGGTTGCCCTCGTGTTTCAGACACGTTCACGTTTCAGCTATAATTGCTCAGTTGTCTCAGGCTGTGATTTTCACAGTCCTCTTCTACTTTCTGAACTTGGAACCCTCACATCAGGGAACTCCCTTACCTTTCGGAGTCTCCCCTGGTGCTAGGAATGTCAGTTCCCCCATCTGGAAAACAAACGTTGACGGCAGCTTGTGATCTCTGGCTTGTGCTGATGCTCATTTTGAAGCATGCGCAGTAGAGTGTGGCCATGACGGTGGCCTGCTGACGCCAGGCCGGGGAACATGCTGCTGGGGCTTTCAGGAGCGACCCGCACTCAGCCGCGGAGCTCCTGTGGCTACACAACTAGTAAAAGGCTCCCTTGTTTCCCGAGGGTTCTGAGCATGGCGTCAGTGCGTGGAGAAATGACAGCCGATTCTCGGCCTTGGGGTCACACTAATCTTCATAGATTTCAAAATAACCCCAAGAGGCAGGTTAGTTTGCTTGTGTGTTTTAGAATCGTTTTTACTGAAGAAACAGGTATGGAAAGATGAAGTGATTCACTAAGGATTTTAGCAAGAGGGGAACGCATGACTTAAATTTGCATGCATTGGAAATGTACCCACTAGGGATCCTGCCCCTAAATAAATGGAGGCGTCAGTCAGAAAGTGACCTGGGGCGGGGGGGGGGGGCTGGGGGCCAGGACAGGGCCTAGGATTTTACCTTGTCCAGTAGCTGGGAGCCCTTTGCTGGCTTCCCTGGGCCCGTGGCGCTCCAGCACCCCCAGAGCCTGCAGCAGCACCTGGGAAAGTGAGGCGCGCTCCAGCTCCTCTGCAGCTCCCTGGGTTTCCTCTTGGGGGGCTGCAGAGTGGGGAGAGGGTGTCAGCCACGGGAGGTGAAGCCCAGGAGAACCTCACGCGGGAAGCTCATGGTTTGTCCAATTCACACGAATCACGGGGAGCGGGACCGGAGGGCTGCGCGGCGGCCTGCCCGCCCGGCGCCTCCTTCCCGTTCACACGCGCTGTCCGGGGCCTTGGCAGCTGGTTGTGCAGGGTTAGAGGCAAGGAAGAACTGCTGTGCTCCCCCCACGGGCACGGCTCGCTCAAACTGCCGGCTCCAAAGCCATTCTTTATTTTCTAAGGATAAAGGGGAATCTGTTAACACCCAGAGTTCTGCCGGGCTGAGGTTTGTGATGAGTGTGAGCAAGGCTCTGTGCGTGCATGCGTGCGTGCGTGTTGTGTTTGTGTGTGAAGTGAGCATGGTCATAACCCCTGCAGGGGACAGAATTCACTGGAGCACACTGGCAGACACATGGCTGTGACCTTGGTGAGGAGACATGAACAAACCCTTGTAAAGACCTCTGCCGTATTGCCAACATACGCTAATGCGCATGTGTGAGCCCCGCCACAGGTGAGCGTCTGTGTCAGGAAGTGACACCTCCCGAGCATGACAAGGGACAAGCCTCTGAGCACTTTGCCCCATTTGACGTTAAATAGGCGGGTGCCCTCCCTTCTTCTTTAAATACACATAAATCGTGACTATTTGAATATTCATTCTTGACATCTCACTGTGCGCTGGCCTTTTTCAAGCGGCATGAATTCCATCAGTGCCCACTCCTAACCAATGACTCTCACTGCGACCTCTGATTCTACAGTCCGGGCGTGTGCAGCCAGGAACCACAGACTAAGCTAGAAAGTGAGCGGCTTGCAGGAGCTCCATCCGTGACTTAGCAAAGTGGCCAAAGTACCCAAAGTCAAAGACAAAACTAAACCCCATGAAGTTTTTTAGTGGAATCTGACGTGCAACCTAATAGTATTTCTAAAATCTCAGAGATAATCACTGCAAAGTAAGTCTCTGTAAGTCTTACATGTTTTTAATTCAACTTGGACTTGAACATAGAAGAAAAAAGTTCTTGAAATCTGAGCCCAGCTGATTACTTTCAAACTTAACAAGACAGCACAAGTACATTACTGAGCTATAATTGGACCAACCAACTCATTTTAAACTTAAAGTGGTAAGGGTTTTGTTTTTGTCAGTCGCCACTGGCTCACACCTGTCATCCTAGCTACTCAGGAGGCTGAGATCTGAGGATTGGGGTTCAAAACTAAGCTGGGCAGGAAAGCCTGTGAGACTCATCTCCAATTAACCACCAAAAAGCTGGAAGTGCAGATGTGGTTCAAGTGGTAGAGCACTTGCCTGAGCAAAAAAGCACAGGAACTGTACCCAGGCCCTGGTTCAAACCCCAGTTCTGACCGTATTAAAGTTTTCAGTTTAGAGAAGTTTTTGTTTGTTTTGGTCAGTCATGAGGCTTGAACTCAGGGCCTGAGCACTGTCCCTGAGCTCTTCTGCTCAAGGTGAGCACTCTACCACTTGAGCCACAGCGCCACTTCTAGTTTTCTGATGGTTCATTGGAGATAAAAGTCTCAGACTTTCCTGCCCAGGCTGGCTTTGAACTGCGATCCTCAGATCTCAGTACCCAGCTCAGAGCAGTTCATGGTGAAATTCTGAGCCCCGGAGGCAGCACTGAAGTAGGCAGGGCTGTTCTTGTGCACATTTCAGAAAGACAAAACTGGGCACAAGTCAAGGGTGCAGCCAGAGGCCTCTGGTGAGACCCCTTTCGGCAGGGTCCTCGCCTCTCCGCCAGGGGAGACAGGAGGAAAGGCCGTCTTACCTGGGGGCTGGAGGGACGCTTGTCTGGGCTGTGTGTCGGGGAGAGGCCAGGCCGGGCCCAGGGGTGGCAGCAGCAGCAGGCAGCAGAGGGCCAGCGCAGCCATGGCTGGAGACCGGCTGCCTTCCGCCGGGGAGCGCTCAGCGAAATTCATGCCGTGACTACGGCTTTTATATCCTTCGCCCTGTGAGCTCACACGTCCCCTCCAAAAATGTCATCCAGCGTTGGCCGGCGGGCTGGGGCAGTCACTTTGCATTAATGTAATTTTCCAAGTAACAATTCATAGACAATAAATCCATAGCCAGCGAGCCGGCGCCCCGAGCGCGCGGGGTTTACGAGAACCCAGCGCCAACCCTGACGGGCGGCCGGGCGCGGGTCCACGCGCAGAGGGGCCGCTTTGTCCTGTCGGCGTGGGGACGCCGTTCCCGTGGACGGGACGACCTGCGGGGTCCAACGTGCGGACGGCGAGTGGAGGCCCCGAGGGGCGTCACACACGGCGGAGCCGCGCCCCGGGCCGCCCGGCAAGGGCAGGGGGCCTGGGTGGTGGGCACAGGCTCGGGGCCCCGCCACCGCACCCTAGGCTCCATCAGATCACCTCCGTTCTTTGTCCAACATCCACACCGGGGCCTCCATGACAGGCCAAGGCCTCACATTCAGCGGTGGGCAAAGGAGAGAGGCTGGGGAAGGGCAGCGAGGGGTGGTGGACAGGTGGGGAAATGGCTGGCGCACGCGCGCCCTGCAGCTACACGCTGCCCACAAACCCGTGAGCCCACAGCCAGGACTTCCCTCATCGACGACCAGGTACCAGCTGATACCAGATGTGTCCGTAGCAGCAGAAACCTCCGTCCATCCCACCCACAGGACCCAGGATTCAGACAAAAATGCCTGAAATCTACACACCACTACAGGTTATTGGTTCAGGTCAACGCTCATTAAAATCATGGACGCCAGGCACTGGTAGCTCACACTTGTAATCCTAGCTACTTAGGAGGCTGGGATTTGGAGGATCATGGTTTGAGGCCAGAAGAAAAGTCCATGAGATGTCATCTCTGGCCAGCAAAAAGTCAGCTGGAGGCATGGTGCAAATGGTAGAGCATCGATCTAACAAGTATGAGGATCTGAGTTCAAGCCCCAGTACTACCCACCCCAACCCCCCCCAAAAAAGCAACTAAAAGCTGGCTGTGGTATACACACCTGCAATCCCAGCATTTGGGAGGCCACACCAGGAAGATTACTGAGTTCCAGATCAGACCTTGGCTACTACAGAAAAATAAATGAAGACATTAGGGATTTTCAAAGCAGCTGTGCTAAAGGCTCGTTCCTCTCCCCAGGCCTCATGGCACATGTATGTGCATGTGTGTGTGTGTGTGTGTGTATGTGTGCATAGCAAGGGATTGCATGAAGACCTGATAAGAAGTCACACCGAGGCTGAGCGAGCTGGGGTCTCTGGAGACGCTGGGGACAGTTTGGGGGTGGACAGCAACCCCTTTCTCTCTTCCTGGGACGGCTGCCTGTGCCTGCAGGCTTTGCCCTCCCTGGTGACTCAGGATCTGACCGTTATTAGTGATGGTTTTATGGCGTGGCCTCATTACGTTAATACCAAAGGCCCAAGCCACTTCCTTCAACAGGCTGTCAGCAGCAGTGTCACCTTGTCCCGGAGCCTGCTGAGTGTGTCACCCACCCCCGCCGGTCCCTGTGTGTGAGCACCACGGCGCCAAGTCCTTGTCAGGACCCTGTGAACAGCAGCTTCTGCAGAGTTCTGTCTTAGAGCAAATAGCTGATGGCACGGCTCCGGTCTATAATCCCAGCCCACTGGGAGGCAGAGACAGGGGGATCACATTTCAAGGCTGTCCAATACCCAAATATCTGTGAAACCCCATCATAACCAGGCTGAGCTCGGCGGGGCACGCCTGTGGTCCTCGCTACACAGGAATCGCCATGCTGTGCCACTGTCACCCCAGTGGCTTGGGAAGGCGTAACCCGGAGGATCACAGTCCAGGCTGCCCAGCATGGAGGGAAACTCTGCTTTGGAAATAGCATAGAAAGGGACTGGAGGTATGGTTCAAAAACCAGACTCCACGTTCAAATCCAAGTAGCACCAAAACAAAGCAGAAGGGCATGTTTCTGCATCACCAGGAAAGCTGGGGACGGTCCTGAGGGGGCAGAGGGGTGACAGGGCACTCAGGGAATACATGAGCCGGCTCTCAGCCCCCACTCGGGGCGCTCCAAGCCCGCGCTCGCTGCTGCCAGCTCTACCTCTACTGCGCTCACGCCTGCCATCCCAGCTACTCGGGAGGCTGAGATCTGAGGATCATGGTTTGAAGCCAGCCCAGGCAGGAAAGTCTGCAAGAGTCTTATCTCCAAAAATTATGCAGCAAAAAGTTGCAAGTAGAGCTGTGGCACAAGCAGTAGCGGCCTGAGCAAAAAAAAAAAAAAAGGCTGAAGGTCAGTGCAGTGCCCAGGCCCTGAGTTCCAGCCCCAGACCAGCACTAAGTAAACACGTGATAGACAGAGAGACAGAGAGATAGATAGATAGACAGGTAGATAGTCAGACAAACAGACAGATAGATAAAGACAGATAACAGGCCAGACTTCCCCAGCCCGAGGCGCCGGAGGCCAGGGTCTGAGGCCCACGCCCTGGTCAGTGACTACAGCAGTCACACCTGGGAGGGGCCGCCCAGGCGGCCTGTGAATTCCCTGACGCGGCCACATTCACATTCACGCAGACCGGCTCAAAGCTTCGTCACAGCGGCTCCCCCAGCCACGGGGGAAGGTGGCTCAGACCCCCGGGGGGAGGGGGCGGGGCGGCGCTCGGCGGCAGTGAGCACACGGAAGCTTTCCACAGGGCAGTCGTGACACTTGCTCGGTCACTCAATAAAAAACTTTTTTTTCTGGTTCTGGGGCTTGAACTCAGGGCCTGGGCGCTGTCCCTGAGCCTCTCTGTGCTCAAGGCTAGCGCTCTACCACTTGTGCCACAGCACCACTTCTGGCTTTTTCTGCGTATGTGGTGCTGAGGAATCGAACCCAGGGCCTCGTGCATGCGGGGCAAGCGCTCTACCACTGAGCCATCTTCCCAGCCCCACTTCTGGTTTTGTGAGTAGTTCATTGGAGATAAGAGTCTCATGGGGACTTTTCTGCCCTGGCTGGCTTCAAACAGTGATCCTCAGA